AATGTTTTGTTCTCAAGAGGTAAAGTGTGGAAAGGCATTGTATAAGATACTTCGAGCTACTGTTGAAACCAATAACATCAGTTTAATAGTGGCCTTGGCTTTTGTACATTAGAAAAGGGAAAGGTCATTTTTACTGTATATAAAATATGAAAATTCAGATGGGGGAAGAAGTTGGATAGTAAAAGAAGTTGGATCAGACAAAGTTGTCTCTGCTGTGCTGTTGGTATTTTACAAACTTGTTTTCCTTTTTGCAGATGTTTCATTACCAAAAGAGCTACCATTATCAAATAACAAATACAGTCTGCTACTTGGCCTTGAACTGCATATATTCTCCATGATTGCAAAGCCCTATCTGTCATATTTCATCATCATCATCATCATCACCATCATTTTAAACAAAACATTTCTTCTTTAAAAATCAAACTATTTCACACTTTTTTAAAAAGAAATATCATTCTGAACCCTTATAGAAATGCAGATGACGCATCATAGTTATCTGTGTGAGTGACCCCATAAAGGCAATATTAATACTGTACCAGGTTTAATAACACAGTTGTTTATCAGGTAGTCAGTGAGAAGCCCACTTCTCAGATCTCCTTCTTTGCTACAAGGTGAAAGAAAATAGAATGTGGCCAGAACATAGGATAGACATAGTGAGGTAATTGCCTAGTATCTGTTGTCCTATAATATATTTTGGGGGTTTCTTTTTCCTCTGAAAAGCTCAGCGCATTTCTTGTCCACATAACCATTCTGTGAAATACATGAGGTTAAAATGTCAAGTAGGTGAGCTCAAGGAGAGACAGGCAGTTGGACGAAAGAAATTTCTGACAACGTAGAATTTCAGCTGTGATCTTCTCAGTCCTAAGTGATTGCTCTAAAAAGTGCAACACAGTGGCTTTCTCTGGAATTTGTTAGAGGAAGTGTGTTTATAGTGCACGTGTGGAGTGCACTCTTGAGTGCTTTAAAATCACTGCATGATTCCTCCTGATGGAAACCGTTTAAGGACAACGATTTATTTATTTATTATTTATTTATTTAGTCAAGCATGCATTTGATAATATACATAAGTATAAATATCATTATTAATACATGAAATAGATAAGAATAAAAGGGAACATTAAGACAGGGATGGTAGGCACATTGGTGCGCTTATGCAACGCCCATTTAGTTGTGTCCAACTCTTGGAGATTCTGTGGGCCAGGTCTTTCCACATCTTCCAATTTTGTACTGCTTCTATGAGTTTTTCTAATGCTCTGTCTGGTCTCATCTTTGATGGCATCACAATATCAGACTCCAATTCTCAACCAGTTTCTTTCGTAAGAATAGTACAGAATAGACAGGAGGAGTCTGATGCATCTGGGTCAGAGGTGGTATTCAGCAGGTTCTGACCAGTTCTGGAGAACCGGTAGAGGAAATTTTGAGTAGTTCGGAGAACCGGCAAGTACCACCTCTGATTGGAGATTTTCCAATATCCTCCCCCTGCCATGCCCACCAAGCCACGCCCACAGAACTGGTAGTAAAATTTTTGATTCCCACCATTGATCTGGGTCATCAGAGAGGACTGATTGCTGCAGATTGTTGTATTCATTTATTTTCACAGTTGATTAATGGAACAGTTGAAGAAGTGTTCACTGGCATACTTATATTTTTGGCATAAATTACATATAGGCATCTTGGGAGGTGGGATCCTACTTCTAAAATATTGTTGAAAAGATGAGCACAAGAGGCTCAGTCAGTTAACTGGTGTACTAAGGAGACTTGGACTTAGTTCTTCAGTCTCCTTCAATCAAGTCTTGACTTCTGATGACCTCATAGACATGTTTGTATAGTTTCCCAAGCAGCAATGTGAAGAAGGCTTACTAGTGAGATGTTACTGGATAGTTTCTCAACTTCCCAGTCTAGTCTATAGTCCTGGGATTCCCTGCGAGGCTCACTTCCAAGGGCTAATCAGGCCTAACTTGCTTAGATTTCAAGTCCAGACAAGTTCAGTCAGGTACTCCCCCACCTGCTGATATATCATTTAGACCAAATGTGTCACGTGTCACATTGTAAGTTTTTCCCCCCTTCGCTAAACCGGGCGTGGGCATGGCCAGCACATGACACATTGGCCCGCGGGCCATGAGTTTGACACCCCTGATTTAGACCATAGAACACAGAATAACAGAGTTGGAAGGAACTTTGGAGATCCTCTAGTCCAACTGCTGCTTAAGCAGGAGACCCTATATCATTTACTCTGACTGACAGCAGTGCATCTTCTGATTGACAGCAATACTTTAGAGCAATGTTTCTCAAGCTTGGCAACTTTAAGATGCATAGATTTCAGCTCCTAGGATGCTGCATGGGGAATTCTAGGAGTTGAAATTCACACATCATAAACTTGTCAAGCTTGACCAACACTGCTTTACAAAACTTAGACAAAATTTATCCAATAATCTGCTTCTTCTTCTCTCACACAAGATCTTTTTGTAGAATTTTCTTGAGGAAAAGCAAGTGCTCTGCCCTCTTGCCTTCCCCCACAATCCAGGTATGCACAAGCACACACACATGTACTTCTGTGTGTGTGTGTGTGTGTGTGGTGTGTATGTATTACAAAGTTTGAACTCCTTTATGAATTACTATTTCTGACTGTGATGGAGAGTTCTGTAGCAAAACTTTTAACTGAAAGTTTACTTGATTGAAATCTGCAAGGTGTGGTTAAAAAAAAAGTCAAGGTAATGGCCATGACAGAGCAGTCAAAGCTCTCTTTGTTTTTTGTTTTTTATTGTGTGATGCAAATAAACCTTTGATCACCTGTTGTGGTTGTCAACTTGGCTTTTTTTGAACACAGCCTGTGGATGCTCCTGGAAATGATCTTACAAAATATGGTGGTCCAGCAGTTGGATTCAGAATCTTTTACTACTGGTTCTGTGGGCATGGCTTGGTGGGTGTGGCAGGGGAAGGATACTGTAAAATCTCCATTCCCACCCCACTCCAGGGGAAGGATATTGTCAAATCCTATTCCCTCCTTACCCCACTAACTTGCTTTCTAGCTCTTTTCTCAGCAGGGCAACAAAAGAAGATCCAGCTGATCAGCTGGGACTCAGGAGGCAGAGAATAGATGAGGGCAGGGCCAATGAGAGGTGGTATTTGCCGGTTATCCAAACTACTCAAAATTTCTGCTACCAGTTCTCCAGAACTGGTCAGAACCTGCTGAATATGACCTCTGTGGTGGTCATATAAAGGGGAGTTTTAAGGGATTTTCCACAGATCAGAGCCAGGCCAGTGTAGCGGTTAAGGTCCCAGGCTAGAAACCAGAAGACCATGAGTTCTAGTCTCTCCTTGGGCATTGTCTGTCTTGCAAGGTTGTCCAGGCAAGAAGCACATCCACAAATAGGAGATCTAACTTTATTGCAAGATTACATTAATAGAGTCTTGCAAGTCTGAAAGTACCCCTAACCTTCCCTTGATTTTACAGTCTAAGAAACTAGAGAGGGTCCCTTCTGAGATGTTTGTCAACCTTCTGTGGCTCAGCTGCCACTTTTCTAACTGTTGTCTGTTAGGAATGCTCATCCTGCATCCTGATGTGGTTCCCACATATCACTACAGGCATGAAGGTAACTGGAGAATGTTGGACCAGTCCTGTCCCTCAGCCCTAGGAAGCAGGCAGTGGCAAACCACCTTTGAAATATTGCCAAGAAAACTATAGGGGCTTTGCAAACAGCAGGCACACATAAGACTGTAAAAGACAAGATGACCTTTCTGGAATCTAAGAAATGAATACACTGCATCTATTGATTCATTCATTTCTTAAATGCTTTTCAGTCTAGACAGATCCCATCAACCTGATGCTCATCATATGTAATTGTCAACATCCAGCATGATACTCCAGATAGAACTCCAGGTTCATTCCAGTTCTGAAAATCTTATTGTTTATTGAATACACTGCATGGTAATGTCGAAGCAAAATTAAGTCTGAGGATCCCAAATACCGGTTCATACAATTAAACAATAATTTCCCCAGCCAAACCCCCAACTTCTCACATAGTCCATATAAACAAGTTCACTTTGTTATGGGAACCATCTGCTTCTGCTCCACACCTGCTATGAAGTCCTTGAAAAGGTTTCAGGCTCTCATGGTCTTCAGTGGAATTGTAGAGTTTTGTTTCCCCATCCAACCCATTCTAAAGCAACCTCTCCCTCTTACTCTAATGGCAAATCGAAACGAAGAGGCATGTACCTGTCAAAATTTCACTCTTGACAGTAATAGACTACTTTGCTCCTGATGTTTAGCCATACCTGTCCCCTGGACCATTATAAAGCATTCCCTTGCCGTTCAGAAACCTCCAAAGGCAGACATTGCGCAAATGCAATAGTGCTGGAGAAACAAACTTTCTTTGCTGCCTTCAAAAATAATGTGATTGCCTTGCTCAGTCTTATTCATGACTCTGCACTCATGACAGTGGTTGATTTCACAATTTCAGAGTTATTAGCATCTATCACTAGAGTGGTAAATGATTCTCAGATAAGCCCGTCTATCCCAGCCTGGCACCGTCTAGATCTGTTGGGTTATCTTCCCACCAGCTCCCCTCAGTATAATAATTCTAAGAGCAGCAGTTTTAACATATATGAAGGTTGCCAGTTTGAAGAAGGCTGGCATTCATCATTTTCTAGCTAATCTTTATTTGAATGCACACAGAGCTAATTTCTGGAAAAGTGAGTGTTAATGAAGAAAAACCTGGATGCCTTTGTTGATAACAGATATAGAACTAGAATGGTTGCTGTCAGCCGAAGAACTGATGGATATGGAACCAGAAGGACAGGTCAATGTTTAGATGATATGTCTAAGAGACCCTTGATCCATAAAGCTCTTAGAATCGATATTATATTATTACAATGAACCTTGTCTTCAGCTTGATTTCTTTACTTTTAATCAAAAGCCCACTTTGTCATTGTTAGAACATTAGTTCAGCTGTCACATCTAAAGAAACCTGGCTGTAAACCAGATTGGCCCATGGATCAACATCTTTGATGTGACCTCAGCACTTCCAAAGGCACCTTCGAGGTTGCTTACAGTAGCTCTTTCATGTGCTTTATCTTCCAGTAAATTGCACAGCTTCATAAGATACAGACTAGATTGGTGTAAATGGATGGCTGTGACTGATCAGGTCATAGCTGTCATGTCCAATGCCAAACTAAAATTGGAGAATCAAGGGAAAAATATGTGGTTGCTCATATGCTCGGTTATTCCTCTGTGTATATTTGTAGAGTGAATACATTGCTACGTGGAGACAAGCATTTAATCAAATTACAGGTTCTGGAAAAGACCTGTGATTTCAGGGTCTCATTTTAAGATTAATTATGAACATCAAGATAAGGGGTAAGTAACTAACTGTAGAAAAAGAAGCTACTTGGATAAGAAGCGAAATGTTTTCCAAAAGAAAAAAAACAAGAAAATCCAGTTGCCTCCTGAAAAAGCATCTTTGGGACAACCATGACCTGAATGACTGAGAATCTCTACAGATTTTTAGCTATACAATTTGGGATAAACACTCTTTGAATGGTATGGGAGAAGGAATGGATTTCCAGAGGAAAAATTGCAGACTACAGGAACCAAGAGCACTACTCAAGTGATGCTGAGGACACAGATAAACCCCCAAGTGCTTCAATGACTCTCTAAAAGAATGTAAATAATCAGCTGTCTGCAAGGAATAGAAATCCTTCCATTCCCCATTGTCCCATCAGAGCTGAAGAAGCTTCTTGGATGAGAAGCAAAAAGTCTTCAAAGAAAAAACAAGAAAGTCCAGTTGCCTCCTGAAAAAACACATTTGGGACAAATAGTGTCCAAAGTTTGCATTATTTTTTTTTTAAAGGACAATAGCTATAGTGGATGAAGCAATAATAAATAGCGGGAAAGACTATGTTACACATATCGTTGGGCTCATGGTTTTCTTTTTTTCTCCATGGATTTTTTTTGAGGGAACTCATTAGTTTTTGCTTAACTTCTTTTTAACATCTACGTCAACCCTATTTTAGGGCACACAATGACTTCTTATATAATTCTACCTCAAAATTCTATACTAACCAGAGTTATTCTGTGAGGTCGATCTATTTTCTAAATTGCCTGTAGGCCAAACAAGGAATAATGGATGGAAACTGAACAAGGAGAGATTTAACCTGGAAATAAGGAGAAACTTTCTGACAGTGAGAACCATCAACCAATGGAACAGCTTGCCCTCGGAAGTTGTGGGAGTGCCATCACTTGAGACCCTTGGAAGGTGAGTGGTATGTAATTTCAACAAACAAATACATTTTAAAAAGGAAACTATAGAGCTGATTTTCACCAACTATATTTGGAATGGTTTCCAAAGGTGCAGAAGGAAATGGTCTCAAAATCTGCTCATCTATGATCTCATTTATCATCAGCAGACTGCAAAGTGGGAATTGGATTCAGTTTTGCTTTATTGGGAAACAAGAGTTGGTCTTTTTTATCAGAAATCAAGCTGTCACATGAGAATTATTTCAATTTATTTTATGGATAAGAGGCTGTGCGTACATGCGTGGTCTTTGCTGTGTATGGAATCCAGGTACCCCTTCTTAAGGGAGTATTTCAAGTTCATTTTTTCCTCCATAGTTCTGCCACAACTTTGTGTGATGGCATGAATGATATATAGAAAATATGGCTCTACAAGCAGCATATCAACATTTGGATAATCCTCCTAACGGCACCATTGGAGAGGAACCAAGTTCTCTTCCTGTTCCCATCTAGCCTCACTCCCAAACTTTTAATAGGCGTACAGAAATTTTATGCACTTTATTTTTTTTTTCTTTTAATTAGAATGCCGTTATAAAACCATTCACAAATATTGCATAAAGTTGCTTTCTTTTCCTGCGGTCTAGGGTTACCTTTAAATAGTAAATTTCAGATTTGGAAGCAGGGGCTGGTTAATTTCATGGCTCCTTGATTTTTATCCTCCAAGGTAAGGATTTATCAGATCATCCCACACAAAACAAGGCTGATTCTGAGTTTAGATGAGCAAAAAGGAAGGAGACGAGAAAATCACAGGTAATACAAACTGTAGTAATACAAGCTATAATATCTAATAGATATTAGGTACACATTTTACCTTCTGCTCTAAAAACGTCCCATTTTTGGCACTTTTAATAGTCTTTGGTGGACTCTCCTACTCTGTTGCCAGGTGTCTATGTGAAGGGGACAGTATTAAAGCTTGAAAATGCTATATGCAGCTGGGATTCAGAAGAAGTGACCTCTGATTGCTGCCCCATGGAAGGCCTGGAGGGTTAAGGAAGACGGGTGCTGTCATAAACCCATTCCAGCTAGGATGCTCATGCAGCCCCTATCCCCCTTGTGGCAGCACACACAGTTCCCTTTACCTGCCTTAATTCTACTCAATTTCACACCATAATCAGGTAGAAAACAGAGAAGAAGCTAAAAAAGTTGTTTAACAAAATTCAGAAGCAAAGGAAAGCCACACTCTTTCCAAAATCCAGCAAACTAGAGAAAATCCCGACTCTATCACACACATTCTTTCTATTTATTTACTCATTTTAACATACGTTGCTCCATTTTCAATGGAGTGATGTTAAAAGATATTACATCATAGGGTTAATGTTAATAGAAAAAATAAGAATAACAATCAATTGGACGTGCACCATTTTGGGAGAAGCATATCTTTCAATAGTCCCCAAGTGGTTTTCTGGAGTCATTCCTTCTTGGCTGTTGGAAAATGTAGTTGAGAGGTGGAGGAGGCTGTTTCAAAGGGGGAGGTGCACATCACTAAGCTTGACTACAGGGTCTCCATAAATGACATTCCCTTAGCAGTGGGACCTTCAATAAGCTTTCTATCCCAGATTTAACTAGATGGGCAGATTCAACTCAGAGAGGTGGCCACAGAAATCCAGTCACTGAGTCATGTACAGTGGATGGGTGATAACCAGCACCTTAAATTGCACTTGGAAGCCAACTGCAGTTTGTTCAGCTGTTGGATTAGTCTTCTTATACAACTTTGGTATATACCTGGTTGTCTGGGCTTCTGCGTCAGTGGTGGTATGCTACCGGTTCGGCCTAACGGGTAGTAAAAAAAAAAGCCTCCAACAATCAGCTGAGAGGAAGAAAAAAATCAGCTGAGAGGAGTAAGAAGGCCCTCCCACCTGCCCCTGTGCTTTTCTCTTCTTTATCCTCTCAGCTGATTGGCGCTGCTGGTGTGGGGAAAGCTGCGCGTGCATGTTAGGTGCTTGCACATTAGGTGCACGTGCATGCGATCATCAAACCGGTAGTGGAACAGGAGGATCCCACTGTTGTACTGCATGTTGAACTTTCTGAAGAGCCTGTTAAGGCAGCCCCATGTCAAAAAAAAAATGAGTTTGTCCAGTGCCAAGCTGACTAAGCTGAGTTGCAGTAAGTAAAACCAGTGAGTAAAACCACTCCTGATCCAGGAATGGCTGCAACCTGTGTACAAGATGTGGTTGTGCAAAGGCCTTCCTGGCCACAATCATATTGCTCAGCCAGGAGTCCAAGTGGACATCCGGATTGTAGGCCAGCTCAGTACAATATAAACCCATTCCAACTAAAATATCATCTCTCTGGACAAAGTAGACTTCCAAACCCTTCATGTTGCTAGCATTCAATCTAAGTTTGTGTTTCTCATCCAGGTGGGTCCATTTTCACATCTTCTGCTCAGCCCAAGATCTGTAGCAATTCAGTATCATCAACATATTGGTAGTGCCTCATGCCATGCTGATCGATGATCTTGCCCAGTGGTTTTGTGTGGATATTTAAGAGCAGCAGGGAGAGAACTGAAGCATGTGGCACCCTATACCGCAATCCTCAAGGGCTTGAATCTTTCTACCCATAACCTGGCAGTCAGGAGTGGGCACTCAGGAAGGAGAGCCACTATTGAATAGTTATACCCTCACCCCACAACTATTTCAGCCAGTGCACAAAGATATCACACTTAATGGTATTGAAAGCAAGCAAGAGGTCCAGCAAGACCAGAAGTGTTGCACTTCTCCATCCCAGTCCTATCAAATGCCAGTAGTGACCAGTAGGTTTGGTCCCACACCCAGGCCTGAATCTTAACTGAAAAGGGCTCAAATAATCCATTTCATTCAGCCCTCTGCAGCTGCAGTCCAACCACTGTCTCAGCAAAATTTCCTAAAATGGGAAGATTGGAGCCTAGCCAGTAATTATCCAAAGTAACTGGATTGAGTAATGGCTTCTTGAGAAGGGGTGAAAATCACTGTTCCTTTCAAGGCTGAGGGCATTACCGCTCACTCAAGGGCTGAAATATAATCTGTAGGTGACATTTTAAACAGCACAATGAACCCTGTCCATTTCCTCAAGCTAATCTTAGATAATCTTGTAAATCTAGGTCTGAGATACCTCAGCTGGACCTGTCAGCCAGTGTCCAGCTGTGATTGAATATGAGAGAATATTCCTTCAAATACCAAGCATGTTTTTCATCATAATCCTCCAGCTCAGTTTTCCCTAGGACTTTAAACACGATCCTATCCTACTACTAAAGGCATATTATGGCCAAGAAAAGGCATCATAACTCTAACTTACAGCCTAGGTGGACAGCTTTTTTTTTTTTTTTTATGCCTGAGGGCTTTATTTGCTCTCTCTCTTTTTCAACTTGAGAGTTGCACTCTAGCATTATAACATTACAGTGACAGCTCCACTTCGGTGGGTGAGGCACTGGTGCCATCATGCACATGGCTAGGGGAAAAATAAATTTAAAGCAAGACAGCCTCCAAAAACACATCAAAAAGAGTCACACTTTAAAAAATGTTCTTAAAAACTCTAAAATGTGTACAGTCGGGGGGAGGGGGTAAACGAGGGTACACAAGGGTAAACTGGGTTGCTAGAATTTGGCAGTCTAACGAGATGGGCAGGAGGAGCTTGCTGGCAGCCCAGGCCTGCTTACCAGGCAGGTTTTTGTAGCTGTTCTTCAGAGGTTCCATTGCTAGAGTGACGTCTGCTGTCTCTACAGTAGGAAAAGCAGCTTCCGAATCCCCCCACTGTTCAATTCAATTATATTTCATTTCTCTGAATGCTACAGGGTTGAAAGACTAATCAGATTACCTGCCAGAAGCACCACCCTCTTCATTTGGCAGGATGATTTTGTAGAATGAACTGGGCATAGTCATGAATAAGACCCTTTTATGGCAGCTATTTTCCCTTCCCAAACTCAATTTATTATTTTATAATAAGCAATTACAGATCAGTGAAAAGATGTTAAAGCTGTACTTTTTCTCCAATGAACTGAGAGATCATATCTTTTTTTTTTTTTGTCATTATCCCCCATGGCCTGAAATTCTTTTCAGGGGCAGCAATTGTCCCAGCACATCCCCACAAACCTGGAATTTCTTGAAGTCCATCTAAAGTCTGGCTCAATTTTTGGATAAGAAAGCAAATTCAGTTGGGTTGATACCTTTTATTCAAGGCATCAAAACTAACCAAGAAAAATTAAGTACCCTTTCAATGTTTTGGACTGTTGACTTCAATTAAGAGAAAGAATGGAAAAAGAGAGAGACAGAGAGGATGCAGTAAGAAGAAAAGTATGAAGTTTTTTAAAAAATGAAATCTGAATGTAGTGAAATCTATTCCAGTGATATATTGTATGTAGTTTTCTGGATGATAACATAGAAATGAT